ATCTATCTATCTATCTATCTATCTATCTATCTATCTATCTATCTATCTCTATATCTATCTATCTATCTATCTATCTATCTATCTATCTATCTATCTCTCATTTATTTATCCTTCTGGTTTACTCTGTCTAGATCTCTCCAGTTGCAATCCAAACAGATATTGTCTGGTGTATCTGTTTCATGAGAGGCATCACATTAAGTGCTGTGGGTTATCAGAGATCAAATCATATAAAAAAATCAAAGATCAGTTAACTAAGCAACTGATAACTTAGCACTTACCATGTGCTGAGCTTAAGGAATGAAGGAAAAATACCTTTTAGAGAGAACCTTCCCTGTACCAGACACTCCTCATAAAAGTCCAAATGAGCACCTATGCTCATTTTACAAACGAGAAAACTGAGGCCCAGAGATATGTCTGGATATGGCCAAGGCTATGCAGTGAGCAGTTGGCCTTGGTATTCATATCATTATCATCTGCTTTGAAAGCTGCAGTGCAACCTTCTCTCTGCATCAGACTGAGATTGTAAAAAAAAAAAAAAAAAAGCAGCCAAAGGCTCCATGTTAGCCTGAAGGATATTACAGCAGAAACCAGAATGTGACCAGGGTTCTGAGTGAGCAGAGGTCAAGGAGGTGGGAAGGCAGAACCGTTTTCCCCAGAAGATTCTGCAGAGGCACTCCTCAGGCCAGCCTGCTCTGCTTAAGGGGTCGGTGTGCCAGGGAGTTGAGGGCTGGCTTGGATTTCATTATAACCCCACTCCATCCATTAAGGGCAACTACTAAGGCCTTGGGTAGGGGAAAGAAAGTATGAAGATCCAGAAGTTTGGCATCTAGCCGACCTGGGTTAGTGCCCTACTTTCTTAAATTATGATCTTGGGTAAATCACATAACCACTTTGGGCTCCCAGCTTCCTTACCAGTGAGATGAAGGCCAGCACTGCTTCACAAGGCCATGTTGAAGACTGTGATATTGTGTGAGAAGTGCCAAGTGCTGGATGATACTAACATCTGTCAGCCAGGGGATTGCAAGGCATTTAGGA